CATCCATCCATCATCCATCATCAATCCATCCATCCATCATCCATCATCAATCCATCCATCCATCATCCATCATCCATCATCAATCCATCATTCATCCATCATCCATCATCAATTCATCCATCCATCATCCATCCATCATCCATCATCAATCCATCATCCATCCATCATCAACCCATCCATCATCCATCCATCATCCATCATCAATCCATCCATCCATCATCATCATCAATCCATCCATCATCCATCATCCATCATCCATCATCAATCCATCCATCCGTCATCCATCCATCCATCATCCATCATCCATCCATCCATCATCCATCCATCATCAATCCATCCATCATCCATCCATCATCCATCCATCATCAATCCATCCATCCATCATCCATCCATCCATCATCATCCATCCATCCATCATCCATCATCCATCCATCCATCCATCATCCATCAATCATCAATCCATCCATCCATCCATCATCAATCCATCCATCCATCATCCATCCATCATCCATCATCAATCCATCCATCCATCATCCATCATCAATCCATCCATCCATCATCCATCATCAATCCATCATCCATCCATCATCAATCCATCCATCATCCATCATCCATCATCAATCCATCCATCCATCATCAATCCATCATCCATCCATCATCAATCCATCCATCATCCATCATCCATCATCAATCCATCCATCCATCATCAATCCATCCATCCATCATCCATCATCAATCCATCCATCCATCATCCATCATCCATCCATCATCCATCCATCATCCATTATCAATCCATCATCCATCCATCATCCATCCATCATCCATCCATCATCCATCATCAAACCATCATCCATCCATCATCAATCCATCCATCCATCATCCATCCATCATCTATCATCCATCCATCCATCCATCATCCATCATCAATCCATCATCCATCCATCATCCATCATCAATCCATCCATCATCATCCATCCATCATCCATCATCCATCATCAATCCATCATCCATCCATCATCCATCCATCATCAATCCATCCATCCATTATCCATCCATCATCCATCATCCATCATCAATCCATCCATCCATCATCCATCCATCCATCCATCATCCATCATCCATCATCAATCCATCATCCATCCATCCATCCATCCATCATCCATCCATCATCCATCCATCATCCATCATCAATCCATCCATTCATCATCCATCATCAATCCATCCATCATCCATCCATCATCCATCCATCATCAATCCATCCATCATCCATCATCAATCCATCCATCATCCATCCATCATCCATCATCAATCCATCCATTCATCATCCATCATCAATCCATCCATCATCAATCCATCATCCATCCATCATCAATCCATCATCCATCATCCATCCATCATCCATCATCAATCCATCCATCCATCATCCATCCATCATCAATCCATCATCCATCCATCCATCATCCATCCATCATCCATCCATCCATCATCCATCATCCATCATCAATCCATCATCCATCCATCATCAACCCATCCATCCATCATCCATCATCCATCCATCATCAATCCATCCATCCATCATCCATCATCAATCCATCCATCCATCATCCATCATCACTCCATCCATCCATCATCCATCATCAATCCATCATCCATCCATCATCCATCCATCATCCATCCATCATCCATCATCCATCCATCATCCATCATCCATCCATCCATCATCCATCATCCATCCATCCATCCATCATCCATCCATCATCCATCCATCAGTTCTGTTTCAAACTGGAAGCAAAAGTCTTTTCTTTACCACAGCAGACTCGAATCAATCAGGCTTCATATAAACAATATTTTCCTGGGTATTAAAATAATAATAATAATAATAATAATAATAATAATAATAATAATAATAATAATAATAATAATAATAATAATTATCAGCATCCGACAAAGAGATGCAGGCAAATGACAAGATGAAAGCAGATTGTCCCTGAGCCGAGTTAAATGCCTCTTTATTACAGTCGGCATGGTAAGTGCATACGTTGCAGCAACAACAACCTACAGAAAGTTGGAAGAGTTACGGATTCACACCCTGAATCCAGCTGGAACGATGCATCTTGTTTTTACACAGTGAGCATTTATTTTTGGGCGTTCTTTGTGTTTTTTCAGGACGGTGCCCTGAAGAGGAGGCCGGCCCGTTGGGTCAGCGGCGGCTCGTCTTCTGGACTCCAGGACTGAATATTTATCCTGCCTGTGTTCAAACTAAATAGATATTTCTGCTAATTAAGCCATAAGACCTTCCAAAATAAAGTGCAGCAGCTCTGAGTCGGCTTGATGTGAGGTTTCCGTCTCCTCTGCTTCTGTTTCTATCCATGGTAAAAAACTGAAACTGCTATTAGTTACTATTCTGTGGCAATAAGAACTAATTATGTCAATTATTCTGACTGTTTTATATGTGGATTAAGTTATGAACATATGGAATCACACCAGCTTGGTACTTTATTTTATTTTGAGGTTTCAGAGTAAAGGGGGATAAAATGTGCATATTTTTGATTAAGAAACAGCAACTGTTTACATTGTTTTCTATTTTTATTCTACAGTCCTGCTAAAATAAAGTGAAATTCGTTGATATAACAAATCCACACAGCTCAGGGGTTTGAAGACTTTTTGGAGGCGATCTTTACAAACATCAGCGCGCTCCATTAGTCAGATTTAGATTTTTATTGTGGGTTTTATTTAGCTGCGTTGGCTCTTTCTGGTCTTCTGCACTTTTTCCTTTGATCATCATAATTGCAAACATTAAATTTGTTAAAGAGTGAAAATGTGCATGAAAGAAGCTGACTGCTTTTAAGTCAGGAGAAAATGACAGATGCAACATTTCCTCTGTGATGGTCGTTCTCATTAGTTTAATGATTTATGTAAATCATCTTTCATATCTGGCATGAAACATCTGGACCACAAGCTTCACCTGGCTCCAATCTGATCAGAACTTTGTGTTTTGTTGACAAAATTTCATGACTATATTAGTAAATTGTTTGGAGATTTAGAGCCACGGAAAATAAGAAAAATGCAACATTTGATCTTTTGAAATGCATCACTTTATTATATTTTTCATATTTAAAAGATGAGACATGAGGAAGGGTTGGATGTGACATCTTTCACTCATAAATCAGACCTTCAGTCATTTAACAGGCAAATGGAAAAGTTTACTTTGACTTTAGTTTCTCTTTAGATTGATCATAGACAACCCTCATTCCCAGATTAGTTGTTTAGTCAAAACAAAGACATTTATCAGGATTTTGGTTCCCAGCAGAATAGTGAAATATTCCTCATGAGAGGATAAATCAGTTCGTTTGTGTTATCCATAATTAACACTAAATTGTTTTAAGTGGCAGCAGTTTTTGCTCAGTGGGACGATCAGCTGCTTGAAATCAGCAAACATTATTCAACTGATAGTTTGTGAATCAGCCGAGTGGATGAGCGCTTCAGAAGTTAAATATTTTAGAGTAAGCTAAGTGTGCTAAACTTTTTCAATGTGCTGAAAGTCAGCTCACTTGTTCAGAGGAGAGTCTCTGCCTGCAAGACAACATGCAGCAGAACCTGTACCAGATGATGCAGAAACCTGACCGGATCTCAGCCCAGCAGCAGAACCTTCTGGAAATACAGTCCGACCCAGACAGGAGCCGTTTTACCCGGCGTTCTGGTTCTGATGCTTCAAGCTGAACCAGGGTTTCCCCCAGTTACCAGCATTGAATTAAATCTGTCTGTTGCTCCTCTCTGCAGTGCAGCAGGTTGAACTCATCCTGCAGGGCCGGTCCAAAGCTGCATGAGGCCCGGGGCAGAACCTGACTGTGGGGCCCCTCTTGCTCCTAAAACATCAGAACCTCTAACAGCTTCTGTTAGATTTAATCTGGGAGATTAAAGTAGATTAACTGGCCAATCTAAAAATTAATGAGTTATAATCGCAGTTTATTCATTTGCATTTGAGAACAAACAGCTAAAACTCAAGTTGTGGGTTTAAATATTGTTTCACTGGCGATGTTTTCCAGCAACATGTAATTAGCCAGTGCTATT